TGAGCTGTCTCCTCTCGTCTTATATTCCTCTGTAGGGCTGGGATTAAAGGTGGGTATTACTGGGACCAAAGGTGTGCACCGCCTGGTTTCTATGGCAAACCAGTGTGGCTAATGGAATTAAAGGTGTGTGTCACCACTGCCTGGTCTGTAAGGCTGACCAGTGGGGCCACTGTACTCTCTGATCTTCAGACAAGGTTTTTTTTTATTAATTAAAATACAAATGAAATATCACTACACATGTGCACCCCACACATACACAGGCAGCAAGAATAAGTACAGCAAGAATAATGCTTTTGTTGTTGTTTTTTAATGACTGATGTAGCGTTGGAGCTGTCAGTAAGTGGAAAGACATTCTTGGTGACTAGGAGGCGTTAGTAGCTCATACAGCCAAATAACTAGCTTTACTTTAGTAGACTGCCAGGGACTGGATGGATTGAAATGCCACCTGGTTAATGATGGCCCATGGGACTTAACAGAAATCCCTTTGCCATGGAATGTAATGGCAAAAATGAGTCACTGGGTTGGAAAAAAAAATGTAAGAAAGACAAAGAGAGGGAGAGAAGTGGGAGAAAAGTTGAGTATCTTGCCTTTCTAAAACTAAGGTTTTATTTATTTATTTATTTATTTTATTATTATTATTTGTTTCTTTTGAGGTCATGTAGCCCTGGCTGGCCTCAAAGTCACTTCATATCAGAGAATGACTTTGAACTCATCGTCTTCCTCCCAGGTTTTGGGGTTTATAGGTATGCCCCACTGTACACAACCTAAACTAATATTTTGTTTCATTATTTATTTATTTGGTGATAAAACAAAACAAAATAAAAAACATGGTCACACAGAGCTTCAAGTTCTCTAAGTAGCTGAGATGACCTTCAATGTATGCTTCTCCTACCTCTACATCCCCCCCATCCCCCACGGCTGGGATTACAGAAGTGTGCCACCACACCCAGTTTTGTGCAGCTGCTGGAGACTGAAGTCAGGGCTTTCCACACTCTAGGCCACTGAGCTTCATCCGCACCCCCAAACCTGACATCATAAAAGAGTGTACATTTTCTTTTCATACTCACTTTTGCCAAGATGAATAGATATGGAAAAGACTGTAGGGCAAGGCATTCAAAGAAATTTCTCAGCCTCCTGATTTTCCACCAAGTGACATCATTGAGGGTGACACCAGTGTCTCTGTCCTCCCATCCATTAGCATCTTGTTGGGCCGTGAGGCAATTTCCTTTGTCTCGTGGTATTTGGTGTACAAGCCCGCCTTGCTCTAGCGCTCCTGGAGATCATTTACTACTTCTGGGATTAATAAGAGCTGCAAGTTTGTAGCTTCTTGTAAAAGTATTGCCACAGGATGGGGACAGACTCTGGTTTCAATCACTTGTACTTTCGAGAGAGAGAGAGAGAGAGAGAGAGAGAGAGAGAGAGAGAGAGAGAGAGAACCACATTTCTTCCCCTCAACTATGAGGGCTGACTTTGCCAGTCAAGGGACTAGGCTAGTCCAGGGATCTCTGTCCCTTTGTCTTGGCCTTTCTTATTGCTTGATGTAGGGTCTGTTTCTGAGGTTGGCTTGGAACTGGCTATTCGCTGATTCACGGGGAACCTCCCTATTTTAGCCTGCTGAGTGCTGGGATTGTGGGTGCCCTAGACATTGTTGGTTTGTTTGTTGTTTGATGGTCTGCAGAATCTAGGATCACATGGGTGAAAGGTCTCTAGGAATGCCTCTGAGGGATTAATCCCCGGGGGAAAGACTCGTTTTTTTAACTGTGCATGGAACCATTCCCTAGCAGGATTTCTGGACTGAATAAGATGGAGAGAATCGGCTGTGCACCAGCACGCTTTCATCGTTGGTGCCTTTCTTGATTGTAGATGTGTTGTGACTAGCTCCTATAAGCTCCTTCCATTGTGATTTTCCTGCCATGATGGATTTGTAACGTGGAAAGATGAGCCAACACAAATCCCTGTCCCCTGAAGTGGCCTCTGTCAGGGCATTTTGTCACCGCCACAGGATAAGAAACAGAAAGTCTCACACTGTAGATTTGGCTTTTGTTGCTATCTTTTTTCGGAGAAGAGGGGCATCCCTGTGCTTTTGAGGCTGGCTTGAAATTCACTATGTAGCCCAGCCTGCCTGGCACTAACAGAAATCTTTATCTTCCTGCTTCAGCCTCCAGAGTGGGGGGAGTTGGGGTGGGGCACGTGTTACAAGCATGCACCACCCTGCCCAGCTTGGTGTTGTTAACACGCCTTTGACTTGGGCATGACTTTACTGGTGTCTCTTTCCTGACAACTCCAAGGCATGGGCTATGAGACTGCCCTCCTCTCCATTCTAGAAGCTTTGGTCTTTGAGGCTCTAGGTTCTTTATCTGCATTTCCTACATACAGGACATGGAAGCTGACTGCAAACACAAGGTGTGTTTGATGAAAAGGTTTTCAGGTCTGGATCCTGCCCTGTGATTTGAGGACAGTTCCCAGGAGAGTGGTGACTGTATTGTGCAGTGGAGTTGCCTAGGTTGACCGGTCGAGTTTCCTGTGATGGACAGGCAGTGTCTAGGAAGTGGCAGGTAAGTTGCCTAGGATGGCCAGGAGAGTCTCCTGTGACGGACAGGCAGTGTCCGTGTTGAGCTACATGGATAAGGGCTTGCACACCATGGTGCCAGAGGATTCAGAGTGAGGATGTTTCCTGAACACATCTCAGTGCAAGCATCTTGTAGTCCCCTCAGCAGGGCATCATCTTGGCCCACACTAAAGTGATCTAACAGAGCCTTTGAAGTGGAAGCAACAGAAATGGGACACAGGGAGAGCAGGGCCATAGCTACTCTTCTGTCCAGTCTGGTTAACATTGCAGCGTTTGTGCCAACAAAGGAATGCTAAAATATATAGCCCCTTTTGCTAACTGAACACACTCCAGGGGTCCAGATTTTCTCCATATATTTGTCTGTGTTTTCAGAGATGGTGACCCCTGGCCTGGTCTCTGGACTCTGCAGGGGAGCCCTGTGCTGCAGGGAGGTGCAGCCTGTGGTCACACCTGTCTGTATTGGTGAGGCTACACATCAAGAGGCAGAGGCTGTGTGCGCAACAGCTTTATCCCCTCTCACACCTGGGACTCCCCAGAGCTGCTGAAAAGCAGTTGTGCAATGGTCTCTGCTTCATTATCATGTCCTGAGGCTACATGTCTGTAGGACCAAGCATGTCCAAAGGATTCAACAGGTATTGGCGATTCTTAGCAATAATAAGCTTATACCCAGAGCCAGATGGAGTCAGAGTACTCCAATGTCCTCTCTTCAGTCTGGGGACAAGTGAATAGACTTTGGACTGGAGCCAAATGTTCTCCATAAAACAGTCGAAGGCCAAATGGTCCCTGAGGTCTCTGCTCACCTACCAGCAACTGTGGTCTGTGCGTTCCCTTTCTCCACACACATCTGCTGAGCCTCAGCTATGTGTGTGGCCCAGATCCAACCTGTGACCTCAAGAATCCAGGGTGCAGTGCCCAGGTGGCTGCAAAGACAGCATTACATCACAAAACCTCCTCTGTGATGCCTCCCCATCTGTCTACGATACAGTTGGCCAGCTATGAGGGGCATGTCGAGAGCCAGAGTATGGAATTTGGAGTTAGGTAAGTGTGTGTATGTTTTGCAGATAAGAAAACTGAAGTGTGGAGAAGAGGCCTTACTCAAGTTCAGATAGCAGTTCAGCGGCTGCCTGAGATTAGAACTGGTCCCTTGATGCACTTCCACCCAGACCAGTTGCCTCCCTTCTAGAAGAGGAAAACAGGTCTATATTTACATCAGGACCCTGCAATTGTTTTCATTGGGAGAAATGCTGCATTTCAAGATTAAATAAAGCAAGCACCTTTGGAACAAGTGTAGAACATGGCTCTCAATTCTGATGCTGTCAGATCCCCTGGAGAGCCTCTCAGAAGCACTCATGGGAGCCCCTCCTCAGACCAATGAAGTGTTTGTGTGACTAGTGTCCAGCCAGGCTCTGTGGCCTGATGAGCCAGTCCACCACGCCACCAATGGCTAGAGAGCAAGGCTTCCAAACAGCGATGAGTATGTGAATCTGAAATTTTGATCAGCGTCTCAATTGAGCACATCCAGAGGGGCAGTTAGCAGCCCCTGTTCTTAGACTGTGCTTCCAAGAGCTGTTCCTGAGGGTACCAGGGATTCTGGTGAATCCTTTTGTCCTTGGTTACTGCATTCAATCTCTACCTCTCCACCATCTGCACCCTTGATTTTTCGGTTGTCTTGGCTCCTAGCAGCGTCCTTCCTTTCTTAAGCTGGCAGCACATGCCCTTCCAGGCTCTCCTCCTCCCTGCTGCCCACAGCCCTAGCGAGCTAGCTCTGTGCTGAACTAACTGCACAGCCTGCCTGTCTGGGCTGTTCTCACCTTTCAACCCGTGTCTTAGGACTCTAGTCCACTTCGCACTGCCCCAGTCCCCTTTGCTAACTGCCTCGAAGTAGGGTGCTTTCGGGTTTGCTTTAAACTGCGCTGCACCCAGCTCCGCCTGCTCTATAAGGAGTTTAACAAACAAAACTTCAAACTAGGCGAGCAAGGCCAAAAGCTGTAGTGGCTGTCTTCAGATACAGACGAACATTCCTTGGAGATTATGCATCAGGCTTTATGCTCTCCACATAACAGAACAAAAAGAAAAAGAGTCGATCAAATTTAACCAAGTAAGTGGTTATTTCCTGTCTGGACTTGGGGTTTTAAAGCCAGCTCAACACAGTGCAGTCCACCGGTCAGGAATAAGAGCTGCTAGGGGTTAGGAGTAGGGTTGGAAGTCTGCTTGCAGATCTGGTCCTCTTGCAACAAGGAGGGAAAGGTTGAACTTTCAGGTCAAGGTGGGGACTCCGGGTGTGGAGATCTCCTAGCCGAGGGCACGGTGGGAAGCACTGGGAGGCAGGCGGGAGTTGCCAGAGTTGAACTAAGTTGGCGCAGCCTTTCAGGTTTCGCGTCTCTCCGCGCCCACGTGGGGAAGGGGGCGGGGAGCGGGAGGGAGGGCAGGTCCTGAGCCGAGGGGCGGGTGTGTGTGTCTGTGTGGAGATTGAAGGAAATGAGACAACCTTTTCCTCCCACGGACTCAGTCTCCTCTGGAGTGTGCAGGGCTCGGGGAGTCCCAAGACCGAGTTCACGCGTTCCCAGCTCAGCCCGACTGGGAGAGACGCCCCAAATTGCTCTCTCTGGGGTGCACGGGTGCCGCAGTCACAGGGCACAGTCCCATTTGTCGCACCCCTCCCTGGGTGATCTGACCCCCCTCCCCGACTCAGTCCCCGGAAGTGTGCGCCTGCGGTCCCAGAGAAGGTAAGCTGCTCCCTCGAAGCGCGCTCAGGGTGCAGACACCCCAGTTCTACTGAGCGGGAACTCTTCAGCGCTCTTAGGATCGGAAACCTCGGCTTTGTTCCGGAACCCCCGTCCAGGTACGGGTCCTGTTTTCTCCTCCTGCTTTCTCTTCCTCCTGGCGTCTCCAGCCTATTGCTCCTCTTTGACTGGCTCAGACCACTCTCATCCCTCTGCCTCCACAGCCAGGCTTTGAGGAACCAGTGAGTTGCAAATCTGGGCGCTTCTCTAACTGCTCCAACTCCAGGAGCTTGACTGAGCCGGCTCGCCCGCGGCGGTGGCGGGCTTTGGTTTTGGGTTTGTTGGGGACCACCCACCTGAAGTCGGCCTGGCGTACACTGAAGTACTTACCTGGCTCCTCTCGGAGCCACTAAACTATTCGGCGACCCCCCAGGTCCCCGAGATCAGAGTGTACTGTGGAGTGCAAAGGCTGTTGGCGCCCCCTAAAGCCTTAAATGGGACTCTCTGCTGCTGGAGGGGGGGCTCACTCGTGCGGCAGCGCTTATCTGGGGGTGAAGGTTCTGAAGGCTGGGGTGGAGGAAAGCGCTCATTGCCGGTTATGAAGACCATGAGGAGAGGAAGGCTCTGAAGCAGGCGAGAGCGAGCCCCATTGGGTGGTTTCATTTTTGCTCCTTATTTAAGCTCGTTTTTCCCCCCAACATCAAGCCTATGGCAGGAACTTCTAAAAAGTCCTGACTGCAAAATGAAACCACGGAGTAAGCCGACTTGAGCCACGAAAGTTTGTAAAGGGCAAAGGGTCCAGCCTAGATTTGGATCCCAGCTGGTCTGAGCCGCACAACCCAAGTTCAGCTCTACAGATGGTTCCTCTGTCCAGTCTGAGCAAGAATCTGCCACTTCCTGCCTGCACACACCCGGGGAGACCAAGCTTTTGCCTTTTATAGCAAATACATAGCGATTCCATTCAGATCCAAAGTATTTATTTACTTCCCGCGGCTGTTTCAGCTCAGTAAAGAGGGTTGTAGCCTTCAGCAGCGTGCTTTAGCCCCTCCTTCCCTTCCAGGCAGGCAGATTTGTGTTCTGCCTCAGCAGGCGACTTGAGGTCAAGTCCTGTGTTGAGGAGGCCAGGTCATAGGTCAGGCCATTGGCCTTGGTGATGCCTCCCTGTAGCTGTGTTTTCTGAAAAGTGGACGATGGGCCAGGTGTGGTGTAGCACACCCGTGGGCCTAGCATTCCGGATGCTGAAGGAGGATAAGAAGTTCAAGGTCATCTGTGACCACAAAATGAGTTTGATTCCAACCCGGGTTCCACAGGACCCTGCCTCAAAATACCAAAATCAAGAAAATAGTAAAGACGGTAGAGTTTATTTTTATTTTGTTTTAGATTTATTTTATATGTATGTGCATGCGTGTGCCTGCCATGTGTGTTTTAACTGTGCCCCTTGAGAGATGTCTGGGAGTATCCGGAGGCATTTTTTGGCCATCGCTGCGTAAGTGGGGGAGGATTTGTTCCTTTGGATTGTTCAGGAGAGCCCCCTTTCCACAATGCAGTTATCCGGCCCACGATACTCAGGTTGAGTCACCTTGGCTTAGCGTATCAGTTCACAGGGAGCCGGGTGTTCAGCCCTCCTGCTTTCATCAGTTGGATCTTAGCTGATTACCCTAGCCCCTGTTCTCACGTCTCTCCCCTCCCATCTCTCCTGCACTGCAATCCCAGGGCCAGAATTCCATTGCTGTGTTCCCACCAGGCTGTGCTACCGTCCTGCCCCACACCTTTGTTTTTCCTCCATTGCTAACAGAAAGGGCCTGGGTCTATAGGTGTTTGTCAAGCATTGACAGCAGCCCCTCTGTAAACCCTGCGCCCGTCTTCCCAGGGTGGAATCTAACCTGTGACCTCATACACCAGCCCCAGACTTCCCTGCCCATTCTCACCCTCCTGCCTTCCAGCCGTGCTCCCCACACATCCCAGCTCCCTGTGGCTTTGCTCTTCTGACCTCTTGGAATCCTTCCTCCCCACGGTTTGGCAAACACTACATCGTTCTTTGGTCTTGAACTCGGTCTCTTCTGGATGAGGCTTTTCCACTCCATGTGACAGTTTCATGGTTCCCCTGCTGCCCTATCCAGTGGGCTGGGACTCTGAAAGTCTTACAGGAAGAGCAGTGTGCTAACCAACAGAATAACTGATCATTTTAAAACAGAGTGCCTGCTCAGTGGTGTGCTCACTTCATGAGTTTTGACTCTCCTGATCCTTACATCGTCTCTATAAAGTTCACACTGAGGCCAGAGAAGCTGCAGAGTTTGCCTAAAGTCACGCAGTTCATCAGTGGTGGAACCGGCATTCACATAAACATTTGAATTTTGGAACACACACGCTGCTCACTATGTAGGTAAGGGCTTTAGTTTGTATCAGACTCAGTAAACGTTCAGTGAATGTGAGCTGAGATTCGTTGACTTATTAGTGGGAACCTGAACCCACAGTTTTTCTTTTTAATCTGTACCACAGTTAGGATCTAGGACCGTACTGTTCAGATGGTACTGTTTGTCGGCAGCCCTGGTTTTCCTTCTCTTTTTATTTTTTTTTAATTTTTCGAGACAGGGTTTCTCTGTAGCTTTTGGTTCCTGTCCTGGAACTAGCTCTTGTAGACTAGGCTGGCCTCGAACTCACAGAGATCCGCCTGCCTCTGCCTCCCTAGTGCTGGGATTAAAGGCGTGTGCCACCACCGCCCGGCCTCCTCCTCCTTTGTGCTTAGTTTGCAGAACTGAAGAGTAGGGTATTGGCCCTAGTCATACCAACCTTGCTATAGAGCTTACGTGTGCTAGTCAAGTTTGGGACAGCACTCTTTGAGGGGACAGCATAGAGGAATGCAATTAAGACCCCCATTTGGAGGATCAGGCATGAAGGAAGGGACTCTGGGTGAGGGGGTGAATAAATGCTGGCTCTCCCTCCTTCTACATGGCAGACTACTCCTTCTCGTTTATCTATTAAAGGTAAAATTTGTTAAGGAATTTATTAAGAGTGCCCACTGCTGACGCTGGATACTAGGTTACAGCTGGTCACTTCACCAGCTTAGAATCCTGTTTCCCTCAAAGCAGCCGTGGCTTTGCAAGCCAGATCCACTCTTTTCTGGTTCCTGGGCCTTGCTGTGTTGGGCCAAGTTTGACTCCGTTGCCCAAATCCCTGCACATTTGTGTACTCTGTCTTCGCACTCAGCTGTTCCTCACACAGCTTTCTCATTCCAGGAGGCTGTTCCCTAAAGTTTAATGCTATGAGATCACCTTGTGTGGTGTGGTTTCGTAAGGGGTCTGGGAAACACTCTGGTGAGGGTGCTTCACAGGGTGTATCAGGGTGAGGGTTTTCCTGTTCGCCAGTCCACGTGAGAACTTGCAGTTTCCCACCCTAGACACTTTCTGTCCCTTGGCAATGCCCCTGCCTAGATCACTAGCTGCTGATGCCAGAAGCAGGTTTCCCTAGGCTATTAAAGATAGGGAAAAAAATCCAGACCCAAGATCTGGGTATCTCTTCTGTTTGACATTTGAATAGTCTGACCCCCTTCCCCCCAAAATAACTTGCTCAGAGTGGTGGGTGGGGAGTCAGTTGGTACCGGGGTCTCTGATGTCACTCCTCATTGATTCTTTCTCCGTGCAAGATTCTTCCGGGTCACTGAGAAATGTATCCTGCTGTTAGACTCGGTGCAAATCCCATTTGGCTTATGAAGAGATGTCTTGGTCCAGTGTTATGATCACTGCCTGCATCTTCAGGTGTTACCTTGTACTTGGAATGCTGGTGCATTGTGCAGCTAGGTGCTGAGTGCTGGAGACACACAGACATGACCTTTCTCAACTAGATCATAGACCTTGATGTGACAGACTTGTGATCACTAGATTGTGCTCAGTGAGAAAAATGGGTGTTGAATAGAGTCAGTCTGTCCTGCAAGAAGAGTCAGGAAGAAGCTTGCTGGGCTTGGGGGCAGGGCAGGGCCATCAAGAAGCAAACACAGGCCCAAGGCAGGAGATCATGAAAGGCCTCTGCAGATCTTTAGGGGTTTGCTGGGCACTGGAGGCCCAGAGATAGGTCTGAGGAGGTGTGGCTTGTCACCAGTCCAACTGTCTGTCCTGGTTTTGCAAGCGACAATGGAGTGGGCGGTCCTGGTTCAGGTGTGCAGACTTTTGAATGGTGACTCTGCCTCCTATCTCTGCTGGTCTGGTTTCCTCCTGGGGCCAAGGGATCAGAACCTAGTGGGTGGAGAAGGGACACTGTCTCCAGTAAGCAAAGAAAGCACAGTCGAAAGAAAGCTGAGCTCAGTAGCTCTGCATGGCTTTTTTGTTTTCTTTTCAAAGCCCTGGCTGGTAAACTGTGTGGATGGGCCCTCTGGAGCCCTGGCTTTGGAACAGTTCCCTGTATAGCTTCTAGAAGTCTGTGTGGATAGCTAAGTAATGGGTAAGTTTCTCAGACTTAGGGAGAGAGGGGCAGAGGTAGAGAGGTTGGGGAAGGAAAGCAAGACAGAGATTCGTGGAGAACGGAGAGGGTGAACTAGAAGAGATGGAGTTTGATATCCGGGCCTATTCTAATGCAGCAGGCCAGAGGCTATCAGGGTTGACACACTTCCCTGAGCCCAAAGCCTTTTGTGTACACTTACTGCATAGAGCTCCCATGGGTGACGGGCTCATCTGCTTGCTGACTGCAAAATGGATGGAGGTCCCTCTGCACTCTAAACTTGACTCTGTGCACCATTCAGCACCCCCTGGGGAATGCAGGCCCTTTTGGAGAGAGGAGTGAGCAAAAGCCCGAGTTATCACAGGAGGCAAACCTGCCCCACCTTCAGGATGTCCATAAGCCCAATGGGGAGATAGGAAGACAGCCACACAATGCAGGGGTAAGTGAGGGCAAGACAGAGGTGATAATGTAATAGTCCAAAAAGTGAATTTCCCCTGGAACCTCAAGATGAGAGAAGGAAAAGCCTGGGGCCCTGCTGCCAGCCACAGCCAGGGCAGGAACTGGTCTCTCAGCGAGACTTTATATGGTTCTGACGACTTATCAGGTCACCCCACCAAAGGCAGTGAAGATGGAGGACACGGGGCCATATCCTGACCAAGACTGAGCAGTACTGCTTAGATTTAAACCTAGATTTCACGTTAGCACCAGGGTGGGGAGTGTCACTGGACCTCTTTGCTTCTCTTCCTAATATCTGATTGGCTTTCATCTTTTTTTTTTTTTTTAACTGTTAGTTTTATTCTTGCTTCTGGCTTAGTGAGAGTGGATAGCTGAGTCCACCAGGGCCCAGGCTCTGACCCTAACAAAGCCAGTAATGGGGTCAGAGGAAATTTCTTCCATCCAGAGCTCAGGGGATGGAGGCAGGAGAGGGTATCTTCTTTGTAAGGTTATCTAGCTTACCCTGGAGGAAAGGACTCCTAGTTATTATAGGGGTCCCAGGAGTGGAGCTTTAGTTAGATATATTTGTCTCGTTGAGTCTACTCTCTAAGGGGTGTGTGTGTGTGTAGAGGGGGAAGGAGGAACGGAGGAGGAGGGAAGGAGAAAAGGGAGGGAGGGAAGGAGAGAGAGAGACCCATTCATAGCCAAAAGGCAGACCCACTACCAGATGCCAGCCATAGACTCAGCCATCCAGCCCAGCTACAGGCCATCTCAGGACATTATCTGACTATTAAATATAGGCTATGTGAGATCTTGTCCGTCCAACAACAAGAAAAAAATGACTGGGGGTGTTGCTCATTTTGTAGAGTGCTTGCCTACTTTGCCTTAACCGTTGGGTTCAAGTCCCAACTTAAACTATGTCATGTGAGTTTGGTGGAACAGGCCTGGAGGAGAATCAGAAGTTCAAGGTCATCGTCACCTACCTAATCAGTTCACAAGTTCAAGGCCAGAAAAAGAGCCAGCCAGTGGGAACAGCCATTTCCTCGGCTCCGGCTCCCTTTCCGGTCAGACTTGCCTTCTCTGCCTCTGAGAGGACTCTTTTACTTCTTCCTTCTCCTCCTGCCCCGGATTTGATCCCAGAGGCAGCCTGCACTTTGTCCTCCTGTGAGAGGAGGCGGAATTGCTGCTCAGCAGGGGGGCCACCATAAACTTGGGAGGAAAACAAGGCTTTCCCCAGAATACAAGGCAATGAGCGAAACCTCCCTTCTGCTCTGTGTTCTCCTGTCACAGGTCACTCAGAAGGGCTGTGGCCTGAGGGAGCATACTTCAGGGGATCTCTGTCCTGTTTGAAGAGGGATAATCACAAGGACTGGGTAAGGCTGTTCACCCAGGAGCTGGTACAAACACAGCCAGCTGTTTTCTTCCTTGCTCATCTTTTTAGGACAAGACAGGTCACTGCAGCCCTCAAGGAAGGGGCAGGTGGCACCTCTGGGGGAAGAAGACAGGCAGGTGAATTGCTTTCTCAAGGTCCATTGTCCAGTGTGCCTCTTGGCTGAGCAACCTCTAAGAGCAGCTCTCTGTGTTGGGTCCCCCGCGGTGCCATAGTGAACCCGTGCAAACAGATGTAACACTTGCAGGTGTGTACCTGTGTCCTGAGGGCACCCGCTGAAGTGTCCAGGTTCTTCTGTCCCACAGCAAAGAACTGGGCCAGGACACATGCTGGGAAATAGAAGGCAATGGTTTGTTAACAGAAGGGAAGGCCCTCCCGAGAGTGGGGATGGGCTGTGAGCTGAGGGAAAACCTCTGCTCAAAAGCATGGGGCCCTGTGAGGAGCAGTCCCTTACAGGGTGTTTACAGAGCGCTGACCTTCTGTCTTTTGTGCTCTTGCTGTTTCTTGAGTTTGTCATATTCAGCCCAGACACAGCTGTGAAGGATGGCTTTTATATGTTAAACTTGATACATCTTTCTCTGGTCTCCTGCTCAACTATTGGAAGGGGCTGGGCGCTGGTCCACTTCAAGGACTTGGTCCTGCCATCTCTCCAGGGCAGGGATGGTTTGCAGAGGCATTTCCCAGGGTTGCACCCTGAGAATCTTATACAAATTCTAAAAGTAACACCTCAGACATTGCTCTGGGAGGCACACAGGTGACAGTGGGACACCCGGCTCCCACAGATGGCTTGGAAGCCTTGGTGTGCTTGCCAGCTCAACACATGACCATTTGCCCACACCTCACACGCCAGCCAGCCTTTGGGCTAGGCCCTGGAAACAGATATACAAGGTGCTCTGTTTGCCCCAGAATTTAGAGACCCAGTGTAAGAGACAGATGGAGTCAGAGATAGGAATGTAGCATCTCACTGTCCATCCTGTGTATTGAAATACATTCTCTAGAAGCAAAGATTACTCTGCCAGTTCCTAAATTGCTGGGACCCACTATGAAGGAGAGTTCTCACATACTCCAAGGACTCAATAAGTTAATGTCTTCCTAGTTTGTTTTCAGTGGCTGTAACTGCATACCCCAGACTAGACATTTTATTATTATTATTTTAATGTCTTTTTCATACATAGTTCTGAAAGCCTATGAAGGCCTAGTGAAGGCCTCCCTGCAGGATCATGATGTTGTAGACGGCATCGTATGGCCAGACAGAGCGAGCAATCTAGCTTAGGGCTTGCTCCTTCTTCTTATAAAGTAACTCACGCAGGCCTAGGACCTAATCCATGACCTTATCTTATCCTAATTGGCTCCAAAAGGCCGCCTGCAAATGTCATTTACTTGTGACTTGAGGATTAGGTTTCTGATAAGTGAATTCTAGAAAACACATCGAAGCCATTTCAGATGTTCTAAGATGCAGAGAATGACAAAGTGCTCTGTGCTTCCTGAGGAGGGACACTTCACTGAGTCTGGGCAGCAAGTAGGAGGGTCCAAAGGGAGGGGGAGGAGAGTGAGACAGGTAGGCAGAGGGACTGATGAGGGTGCTGTGGTTGGGGGGGGGAGGTGGGTCTGCAAAAGAGGAAAGTCTCTATTAGGAAGGGTCTTCACGAAGTATCCGACTTTGACTTGGAAGGCACTGGGGAGCCCTGCAGGGTTTCACACTGGAGGCCAAGTCCAGGCATCATTGTAATGATAGATAGGCTGCGGAGAAGACACTAGAAAGAACCAGCCGGATGTCAGATGAGCAGCTTTGATGTCACTGTAGTGTGGGGTGTGTAAAGGCCTGGAATCTGGAGTCAGAGGACCTTGGCTTGCTTTCCTGCCTCCAGCACCCCGTGTTACTTGGGCTAGATGGTAAATGAGAGTGTCTTCTCTGAACACAGAAACTCTGTTTCCTCATTTATGGGTAGTATGGCTAGTGTTGGATTCTGTAGGACATTAATGTGTTAGCCGTAATGGGCATGTGATTAATTTCATATTGTTACTCTCATCCAGGCAAGAACTAATAAGTTTCTAAGACACCAGTAACGGGGGTGGAGAATTGGGCACTGACCCAGGAAACACTTGGCACTGGAGTCAACACGATCTGGTGACTGATTGGATGAAGGGCTACAGAAGGGCAGGAACTCATGATGACTGGGGCAGTTTGGCCTGGGCAACCGGGGCAAGGATAGTGGAGTCATTCATTGTAGAGGGGGTGGAGGGGTGGAAGAGGGGAGGGCCAGGGTGCAGCATGGCTGGAGAGGGCAGTGAGCTCAGTTTCAGACTGGCCAACTTGGAAGCGTCAGGGCCAGGTGGGGAGAGGTGTCTGGGCAGATGGCTTCATGAGTCTGGCATTCAAGAGAGGCGTTAAAGATTTATGAGCCAACTTTTAGTGAGAGGCAGTGAAGTCATATTATGTATCATTTGATCAGGGAGTGTTATGGGGTATGGGGAAAGGGCCATAGATAGTGCTTACTTTTCAATGTTTATCCAATGTTTATTTTGAGACAGGGCCCAGCATGACCTCCAACTTTCGGTACAACTGAGGGTGACCTTGAACTTCAGACCCTCCTGCCTCTGGGATTCCAGGTGTGTTTACCAAGCCTGGTATGTGGTTTATGCTTGGTAAACACTCCACCTATGGAACCACACCACTAGGTCCAGATAGTGCTTTTCAAGTGTGCTGTGCATTCTAAACCCTTGTAGAAGCAGTGATTTCTCTGTCTAGCCCCATCCTACTGTCACTTTCTAATAGTCACTCAGAGGCTTGTATTAAACTCTTGGCCAATAACTCAGGCTTACTACTATCTATCTCTTACATTTAAATTAACCCATATGTTTGTCTATCTTTTGCCACATGACTCATGACATTTTACCAGTACCCTAACACATCTTCTTCCCTCAGCAGCTGGCTTGCCCCTGACTCTGCCCTTCTTTATCCCAGCATTCTTAGTTTGGCTTTCTCACCTAACTCAATCGTGTTCACCTACTGGCCAGTCCAGCTTGTTTATTAAACCAATCAGAGCATAATTTACATAGTGTACAGGAATATCCCACAGCACCCTTGTAGTAATCTTAATTATGAGCAAAGAAAATCCATCAGGAAGGGGATTGCTGTAGAGTCTTTACTTCAGAGTACAACCGGCACCAAGGAGAACTCCTATTATTGTGCCTGTTTTACAGCTGAGTAAACTGAGGCACACAGGTGATGAGTGACTTCTCCATACAACTCTCCATGACAGACCCAGGATTTTCACCCAGCTTGTCAGGATCCACGCCTGCGTCAAACTGCTCTGAGAGCAGGTCTTGCTAGGATACCACACCGAGCTGCAGGAGAGGAAAAGTAAGACTCTGTGAAGGCAGAATTGGAAGGGGACTTGCAGAGAGCAGAGGACACAGGAGACTGCAGTGTGGGACAGAAGTTTTTCCAGAAAGGAGGGGCCGGCTGCCCAGGATCAGGTCAAGGCCACACAGGGTGAAGCGTCCTTTGACTAGGGGATTAGAAGACCTTTGAGTGCTGAGCTGGTGGGTGGGGTAGTGAGAAGGCTGGGGTGCTGAACAAGTGGAAGGTGCGGGAGTGCAGCTGAGCTGCACAGTTCTTGACAGAGCTCACCTGGAGGTCAGAACAGAGAGAAGGGGGGTGAGTTCCAGGAAGCCAGGAAGCTCCAGCACTTAGGGGAGAATCCCTAGGAATGGAGCGGGTGTGGGAAAGCCTTCAGGTCTAGCTCAGCTTATGTTCGCCAGCTGAGGATCCACACTGGAGAGGAGGTTTTGAATATAATGGATGTACGCAAAAATTCTCTCATGGTTTCTGCTGAATTAAATATCAGAGAATCCACATGAGAGAACCATATCCCATCTCCCGGGGTGAGCATCTCTTTTCTCACTTTCTTTTCCACAAAGGCCTCGTTTTTTTTTTTTTGTCCTACTTTCCGGGCAGCAGCCACATGCGTGGTGAGATAAGGAAGTCCTGGAGGGGTCTGCTGCCTGAGACCTGAGTGTGATATCCAGAATCTATGTGACCAGCACACCAGGGTGCTGCGAGCTTGGAATCCCAGCAATGGGGAAGTAGAGACTGAAGCGTGGATTTCTAGGGCTCTCCAGCCAGGCAGTTTAGCATACTAGGTGAATCCCAGGCCAGTGAAAGACCCTGTCCCAGAGAAAAAAAAGGGGGGATAGAAAAGGTGGGCAGCACTCGAGGTGCTGACTTTGGGCCTCCACACACACGTGTGCCCATGCTTAAACACACACAAACACAAAAAAGCCCGGGGTGGGCGTTTCAAGCACCCTTCTATTCACAGGTGGAGCACAGAAGCTTTCTCTCACCATGCCCAGGGGAGAGTCATTGCTTGTAGAATCCAGACAGGTAATGTTCAGGGGCAGTGTACTACCCCCGCCTCCACCAGCTCCTGAGGTTTGCCCTCCGAAGAGTCATCAAGGTACCATGACATGCTGGGGTGCCCTGTCCTCTGTGGGAGCAGGTGCCTGCTCTGTAGATGTTAGGGAGGTGAGAGTGATAACTGGTGTAGACCTTGAGGAGGAAGGAGGGGATCCTTAGGGACCCCAGCCCTGGGAGAATTATGGAGTGTGACTTTCAGTGCACCTGCTTCGAATGACCCCGGGTGATTTGACTTCTGGCGTTTAAGTTTGTCATATGAGAAAATCTAGTTCCTTGCTAGGCTTTGCTGCTGGGCACAGGAACACAGACTCAACGGGCCTTCCGAAGTGACTCCCTCATCTTGGGGCAAGGACAGTTTCTGGGCTTTGGGAACCTAGGATTCTTTTCCTCAGACAGGGACCATGGAGGGTTAAAGTCTCAACTCAGGCACGGCTTTGCTCCAGCTCCTGATGCTAACATCCCAGAGGCTCAGGGCTAGAATTAAGATCTGCTTCCAACCTTGTAAATATTCTGTGGTTGAAATGGCATCTTTGCTCTTGGAAGTTTCTCAGTGAAAGTACACACCTTCACGGAGGCCTCTGACCAGCTTTCCTAGAGATGTGCTGCCCTGAATCCAAAAGGCCATAGGAAAGGGCTGTGGTGGGGGGAGGGGACGGAGGGGGTCAGGTATGCTTGTGTATATGGGAATGTGTGTATTGTATGTTTAGCTGTAACTGTGTGTGTATGTGTCTGTGTATGTGTGTGCAGGTGTGCTTGTATGGAAATGTGTATTTAGATGTAGCTGTGTGTGTGTGTTCAGGTATGCTTGTATGTATGGAAGTGTGTGTATGTGTTGATCTGTAGTTGTGTGTGTATGTGTGTCTGTGTGTTGTTCAGGTATGCTTGTGTGTATGGGAATGTGTCTGTGTGTTTATCTGTAGCTGTGTGTGATGTGTCTCTGTGTCTGTATCTATGCATCTCTCTGTGTATTCGTCTCTGTGTGTGTCTGTGTCTGTATATGTCTGTGCATGAATATGTGTCTGTGACTGTATGTTTATGGGTGTCTGTGTATCTTTGTATCTTCATACCTACAGCAACTTTTCTTCATTTTCTCCCTCTGGGTGTCAGAAAACATGAAGCTGGCATCTTTCAATGGTTGTATTTCAAACTTGGAGGTTTTATGGGTCTGTGGAGAGACCCTCCAGGAACCAAGGATGAATGGAGATGTGGGCCTTTGACTGGGTATTGGTACCCACAAACAAGGCACTGTCACAGAAAAGGGAGGAGCCACAGGTGCCTTGCCCCACCCTTCTTTGCAGGGAAAGCAGGCATTCTTCCCCAGGAGGGTGTGCCTATGGCTCAGTACAGATGTGGACTCCATGAAGACATACAACCCTTGATGTGGCTTTTGTCCAGTCCTGTGGTTCTGAATATTCCATCAAGGGAAAAGTCTGGGCGTGTGGAATGAAAGCAGAGAACTGTGTGTTATATGATAATTAGTAGTTTATCTTCTATACTTCATTATTGAGAACACTGGAGTGTCATGGTATGCATGGAAGCTTGGAACTTGGGCCCCAGTGGGCAGTTTATAGCTTTAGATGCGACTTTAGACAGGATGCCTTGTGTTGAAATTGGAGCGGCGGCCGGGCTGCGTCCCCAGCACCCCAGCCGCCTGCTAGCTTATGCCTGAAATAACACACAAACTGTATTCTTTTAAACACTGCTTGCCCATTATATCTAGCCTCTTCTCTGCTAACTCTCGCACCTGGACTGGCCCATTTCTAATAATGTGTGTAAGCACCCCAAGGTGCTCTTACCGGGAAGATTCTAGCCTACGTCCATCCTGAGTCGGAGCTTCATTGCATGTGTCTCTGAGAGCAGAGCTATCTCGCGTCTGTCTCAGGAGTCTTACCTCACTTCCTCTTCCTCCTGTTTACTCCTCCCACCTATGTTTTAACCTATCAGGGCAAGCAGTTTCTTTATTGCTTAACCAATGAAATCAACAGATTGATATATGACACTCCCACATCAGCCTTGTAGATTCAGCCTATACTGATTAAAAAGCTATCTTCATCCAGATGTTGTGCCCCACACCTTTATTCTAGCACTCAGGAGGCAGAGAGGCAGGTAGATCTCTGTAAGTTTGAGGTCAGCTGATCTATATAGTGAGTTCCAGATCATCCTGGTCTACAGAGTGAGTTCAAGGACAGCCAAGGCTATACAGAGAAACCTTGTCTTAAAAAACCAAACCAACTAAACAAACAAAAGCTCTAAAAACTAGAAAGAGAAATTATTTTAGCTAGGGTTACTATTGCTTTAATGAAACGCCATGTGGGAGGAAAGGGTTTATTGGGCTTACACACTTCCTCATCACTGTTCAACACTGAAGGAAGTCAGGACAGGAACTCAAACCGGGCAGGAACCTGGAGGCAGAAGCTGATGCAGAGGTCATGGAGGGGTGCTGCTTGCTGGCTTACTCCCCATGGCTGGTCCAACCTCACCCTCCAGAGTGCTGGGATTGCAAATGTGAGCAATGTGCCACGTACAGTTGTGTCTTTATAAGAGGATGCGTTCCTCCACGGGCGTCGCCGAGCCTGCCTGGTGCTTTAATTGGGCAGCACACTGGAAAGCTGGAGTGGGGACAGTGTGCTTGTGTGTACAGTCTGACTGCATGAGGAGACTTGCAAGGATTTGTTAGGCGATCTTTCTGCAACGCCAGTTTTCCTAATTGATGACACATCAACACGTGTGCTAGTGTGGTCATCCTTCTGGCAGGAGGCCCTTCATTCCGCAGTGGTGCCAACGTAGCCAGCTGGGCTTGTAAACCCACAGTGGGCACAGGCCACTATTGAGTGTGTCTGCTTACAAGTTTTAAAAACTAATTTTAAGTTTTTTATTGTTATTTTAATATGTATGACTATTTTGCTTTCATATATATCTGTGGACCACTTGGGTATTGGCAGAAGCCCCAGAGGTGGTTGGATTCCCTGGCACTAGATTTACAGATGGCTGTGAAAGCTGCCTGGGACCCAAACCCAGGTCCTCTGGAAGAGTGTTCAGAGGTTAGCGATGGGTGAGTTTCTCATTCTCCATCTTCTTATTAGGCACAGGGCCTCTTACTGAACCTGGAGTTTACTGGTTTCTGCTAGGCTGGCCGGCCAGTGAGCCCCAGGATCTTCGTGACTCTGCCTCCCCAGTGCTCAGATTACAGGTGCACACTGCCATGCTGACTATTTTTTTTAAATGATCTATTTATTTTTATTCTGTCTGTATTAATATCTGTGCATGCAGTGCCCACAGAATCTGGAAGAGGGATCAGATCATTTGGAACCAGAGCTCCTCACCCAGCATCAGTGTCTTGACTTCATCTTCAACACATTCTGCTTTCTCTGCCAGCTTCTCCCAGGCCAGGCTGATCCCCCTTTGTTGTCGCTTGAAGCAGGGGGCTGCAGTGCACAGGGTATAGAAATTAGAATCGCAGTCTTTCCAAGAGAACATTTTCTTTTTATTCAAATGAGCAGACTGTGATTATTAACTTTTGATCCTCTTGCCTCCTTCTTTAAAGTACGGATCAAGTATACCACCTTCCCTAGTTTATATGGTGCTGGAAACTGAAACCAGGGATTCGTGTGTGCCAGGCAAGTACTCTCTCTACCAACAGAGCTGGATCCCCTGCAGGTCATTCCTGATGTGAACATCTCGGTACCGATTTCCAGCATGTGAGCTCTACTTCACAGAACCAGCTGTGAATGTCTTTGAAAATTCTTCTTCCCTTTCTGATGCTGTGTCTCATATAGACCCTACTGAAACAGAACCCTGCCCCCAGGCTGGCTCCAGGAACTTTATGTCTATAGACAGAGCCCAGAGGTGGAGAAAAGTCTGTCTTTAGAGATAGGCTCCTGGGCTTTCCACCTGTTTATCAGACAGCCTGTGGCTTCTGGTCTTCAGCTTGTTTGGGGTAGGGCAGGGGCAAAGTCTCAAGTAGCCCCTGTTGGTCTTGACCTCGCTACGTAGCCAGGGATTGACTTTGAGTTTCTGCTTTTCCTGCCTCCACTTCCCGAGTGCTGAGACTATAGGTGTGCACTACCAGCTGTGATTCAGAGCTGTGCCGGAGCTCTGTGTATGAGGCAAGCATAATTACAGTTATGAAGTCCATTGAAAATAATGTTACAGTCGGGGTCATCACAGCGTGAGGAACTAACTGTGTTACAGGGTCACGATGTTAGGAAGCTGGAAAGGCACTGCTTTAGACATTCCTCTGGTTGTAGGGCCTAGGACCTGATCTCTGATCTCCACACTGGAGGTCTTCGGGTTTGCTGGTTCTGGTGTCTCCCTCTCGGCTCGTCCCGCTGATGATTGCATCTCGGGCATGACCATGCCATGGGAGCTGCATGTGTGTTGTGGTTTAGGGTGCTGCAGAAATATACTGAAGCCAAAGAGAAGTCTCGGAGCATCCAGCGCCTCCGTGAAGGGTTACATGAAACATCTTCCACACTTTCCTCTCATTCTGGAGACTTCACATAATTAAAAACATCCCCAGCCAAACACTAAATAAATTTTACACATGCTGCTTGAATTACTTCACAGGCTTATCCCAGGGTGGCTTTCGCAGAGATTAATATTTCATTGAAATGATTCCTCTGGGCAGGCTGAAGCCGGAAACTGCAGAAACTCGACATTTGCTTTATACTATATAACTTCAGGGTAGGACTGCCTTTTGAAACTTTTTTTTTTTTTGGATAGGATGCTCAGTTGAAAAAAAGAGCACTCTTAGCAGAGCCCATGTGGCATGAGCCCCAGAGTGTGTTTATATCTACTCAGATATAAAACTGAGAGAATGTGCCTCCAGATGCTATCATATGCTATGGCTACATACCCGTTACAGTTTCTGCTTAGTGAGCAGTGCTGTGGTTTGGATGTTGTGTGTTCCCTGAAGGCTAATGTGTCTGAGGATTGGTCTGCAGTGTGGGGATGTGGGAGGTGATGGGACCCTTGGGAGGGGGACCTTGGGGGGAGTCTTTAGGTCACTGGTGCCGAGTATTGATGGTCTTTCTTGTTGCCATGACAAAAATGACTTAAGGAAGGAAATGTTTGTTTTGATTCACACTTTGAGGGTGTCCTTCATTCTGGCAGGGACAGCATGAAGGCTGGGGAATAAGGCAGCATGGCCCCACAGCCAGGAAGTGGAGAGAGCTGAATGCTGATGCTCAGATCTTTCTCCTTTTTATTCAGGCTAGGCTCCACCCCATGCTCCCACTGAGAGTGGGCCCTGCCTCCTCAGGCAAACCTTTCGGATAGCATTCTCACAGGCACACCCCGGGGTGTTTCCTATGTGGTTCTAACTCCAGTCAAGCTGATGAAGATTAATCGATACATGGTGTCACTCTGGAAGAGATCAATGACGTTCTCAGGGGGTCCACTTAGTCCTAGGAAACTCTTCAGCTTCCTGTCTGGCATGTGACCTCCCCAACTTGTGTGTTCTTCCCATGTAGTACCGTCCTCCCTAAGGTGACTTAGCTAAGAAGGTCCCAGTAGGGTTGGTTACACACTCTTTTGACTTTCGTTCTCCAAACTATATACATCAGGCTGTGATATATGGTAGATCACATTAATTGGATTTTCAATAGCAAATACATCTTGCAT